GTAACTTAACCCGTAAAGAAACTAAGAATTAGTTACGTAAGAAACGAAGAGAGTCGTAGAGTAATTGTACACGTAGATCTCGTATGACGACAACAATATTATCCTTTGTGCTTTCCAACAACAGTTGAGCTTTAGAAATTTCCTGACAATAATCTAGAATGCAGAGAGTGGGAAAATTAATTAATTTTATTAGGTATTAACTTGTATAAAGTCAAAAATTTTAAATCTATACTTGTTTACATAGTCTCCTTTTTATACACTAGACAATAATAGAAGAAATAACAGCTTACTGGAGATAACTATTTAACAACCCCAAATGATCAATAACTTAAATGTGGATTCAGAAAAAGTTGCTGATTTGCCATGATTGTACTCTGTATTGTGTTGTAATGCACATACTATAGAAAATGTTCAACTTTTAAAAATTGGGATTAAGATAACTCTTGCCATATATTAAAGAAAAACCACATTTTAAATATACAAATAACTGACATTAATTTAAATATTAGACTTTTCTTTGTTCTTAGATACTAAATGTACAGTTGAATGCAAACAGGGAGAAGTTAGGATGCCTGATAAAAGTCAAGTCCAACATGCAAAGAAATGAGGCTAAATAGTGCAAGAAATAAAATATTGAAGTGTGTCTCATACTTATATACATATTCTATATAGCCTGGTAGATTTTTCACACTATGCAAAGGTTTGAATAAAAAAATCTACCAGGCTATATAAACTTAAAATATGACCCAAAACTCGAGTGCTTTCAAATATTTGACTATTCATCTTCTTTGTTCTCCTGAAGAAGAATAGTCAAGTATTCGAAAGTGCTCGAGTTTTGAGTCTTATTTTAAGTTTATTACACTTTATATGTGTGATCCTTTGTGCTAACTGTTTTACCAGGCTATATAGTATTGTGCCTAATAATATAAAAATAAAGTCTTATTGTTTATTTACACACATCAATATAAAACAAATAAATAATAGGATTACAGAATTCATATTCTATTTCTATGATAGTTTTTAATTTATCTTGAAAGAAAAGTAATAAGGACACTAGTTTAAGTCGGACATTGTGAAACTCATCCAAGCCTCCGCAAAGATTTTGAAACTTCAGTTTTTAACAGCCAATTCACAAGAAAAGGCATATTTTCTATGCTTTGATTGACTATTGAACATTGATTTCTTTTACTGTTTTGAGTTTCACATTTATGCTGATTGTAGAAAAATGCCTTAAACTTTTTTTATGCACTCTTTGATCATGTTGATGGCAATATTGTCCTCCATACATGGGAACTTTGTCAAGCTGATCATCACTTTTTCAGAGCAATATCCATGTCCAGAAAGCACTAGATAAAGGTGTAAATTAGTGTATTTGAATATAACAAGACTTAATGTTGTTTTTAAGTTCAAACATCCATATTTATGCTAATATATATTATAATATTCTTATTCATAATTGGGGGAAAAAAAACTGCAATTAACTACATTTTCAAAGTTGGACAAATATGGGTGCCTTTTCTTGTGATATGGGTGTTAAATTATGCTCAATTTGTTTTGAAAATGTGACAACATGGCTTCTACTGTGTACTTCATCCTTAAGTGAGTTTGGTGCAGTAACATGGCTAAATGTTAAATCTGAGTTGCATGTTTAGCTAGCACATTAATTTCTTAATCTGACTACAAATGTTAAATTTTTCATAGCCTCTCAATATTTAAAAAGAAACGTTATTAAATTATTTTGTATTGATGTATTTATGCATATATCTTTCAAATTTTTAGTGACTAGTTTATTTTAATACAAAGTAACAGTAAAAAGAGTATAAATTGGGCATGTATAAGAAAAATAGAAGTAACTATTCAATAAAAACTTCTACAAAATAATTACTTTTTCAAGAATAGGTGAGAAAAAAGATTAATATTAAATATGTTTTTAACTTGTATTGAAGCATTACACCATTTTTTTATTGTTTTCAACAAAATATGCAAAACACACCAAAATAGACTGAAAAAAAAAGAAGTCTAAGAGTTGGGAAAGATTTGGGATGTAATTAATAAAACACGTCTAAAGAAAAATTAATACTAATCATAGAATTCTAAGTACATAAGTAATGAAAATTGATCCAAACTTAAAAGCAACCAGGCATAAGCTTACTGAAGTGATTAACCGATAAAGAACTTATTTGGTGGTCCCTATTTTCCAGTTCATGATGTTATCTATATAATGAACACTAATCCCCCCCCCCAAAAAGAACAACTTAAAACTGCAAGGGATCATTTTAAAATGTTTGTTATTAAGTACATAGCTAAGCAAAGGCTTATTTGTGCTGTTCTTACTACAGAGATTAAACCTCAAATTTTAGCATTATAAATCCCCAAGCTCAGCACTGAAATGATGGCAAGGACAACTTAAAATAATAAATGTTATCGAAAAAGAGAAATAACAGAGAAATATAATACATAAAAACAAAACAAAAAAGGGATAATGATATTTGATAATTTACAAATTAGATAACATTAACCCTTTCACTGCACAATTAACTTTCAGGCTGATTCCTAAAAATTGTCAATTATCCACCAAAAAAATAAAATTATTAATATGACCCTTCGTATTACTTTGTCAATATTGAAAGAAGCTGTATTTTCTATATCTGACAATAATATTCCTTGAAAACTATATTGGATAGTGAAAAATAATGATTTAAACAAAAAATTGAGGAAAATTAGAAGAAAAGTGTTCTCCAGTAAATGGCATAAATATAGACAAAACTAAGTCAGTAAGAGGCAAAAGTTATTACAAAATATAAAACAAATTATTTAGATAACAATATCCAAGATATAAAGAAGTTGTCTTTATATAGATTCTATATGTGTTCCTGCAAAGTTGGCAATTTTGTATCGAGGCATATAAACATCCAGGTTTCACAGCATAGAGCACAGATGGCAGCACGCACGCAGGTTTGGCAATTGTTTCAAGTACAGGAGGATATTCCCACATGTCGCAGTAGAGGGAAGCTTTTTTTTCGGTAAGTGAGGTAAATCTGAATTTGCAGTCACTGGGTACAAATGTTTATTCGGATATATTCAAACTACGCAGCAAAAGGGTTAAGAGTAGAACAAAAACAAACCCTCTAAATATGATGCTGAAAATATAATTAGCTCAAGAGCAATCTAACATGCATATGTCATGTTTCATCATTTTAATCAGTATACTTAAATAGCATGTAACAACAAAATACAATTCCCATAGCATATTTTACAAAAGCATTTGAGCAAGTTTTAGAATCAGAATACTAAAACATAAACTATTAAGGGATAAGTAAAACAGTGTATGAACTCTATACAAGATAACTGTGTATTTGATATGCATGCGCTATTCTTTAAATTTGAGTAATAGAAACATGTTTTAAGTACTATGCTCTAAATGAATGCTAACCATATGACTACTATAATATCATTGTGAGAAAAACTCCACACACAGTTTCTTTCCCTCAAATTATCACTTCTTAAACAAAAAAATCAGAATCTTAAAAATGGGGTAACATATTACACTACAAACAACAACAACAACAGTAACCTTTTTCAATACAAAAAAAACCTCTATGGTTCTGATTGATATTACCACAATATCAAACATTTTGGATATTACATAAGAGATTAAACTCAATTTGAATTTTAGATTACAACTGTGCTGTAGCTGCCTTTTGTTTGTGTACAACTCTAGGTTTTAATGGAAAAGGTTTTTCGAAAATATATATACATATGGCTTACATCTTCATAATCATAGCATGTCACAGGAACTGCCACCATTCACTTTATCTGAAACCCATTAACAAGAGACTAAAAAGAATAGAATAAAACATGTAAATCATATTGATCAAACTCACTGTTATTATAGTCTACAGGCACTTTTATAAAACATCCCAACTGACATTTGGGTTTCAACTAAGGTTTACTGAGCATTTGAAGCGAGCAACACAGTTTATGTTCAAGATATAGAGCTGTTATAGTTTATGAGTAAAGTAACATCAACAAGTGCAATTGATGTCATGAGTTTTATTATAACCACATTTAAGTAACCAGCCTGGGTTTTGAAAAGATAACATGATGCACAGACTGATTCATAAATGAAACTATTCTGACAGCAACATGTAAACAAAGCACTCTGGATATCAACCATAACCTTTAGTCACACAGAAATAGTTTAGTAGGTATCTTTCTTCACCCATAATGACTGACTTTGTTTTCCAAACAAAAACTGTTGCAAGAAATGACCCTTCCCAGTTAAGGGAATGGACAAACAATACTGATAAATCAGAAACATTTATGGCAAACAATTACATCTAAACACAATAAAGACAAAGTTTTTTTATTCACCAAATGAAATGAATTGTCAAGCATTTTCTTACAACCATGGTGCCAGCCAACTTTTCTTTAACTGATAAATCTAGTAGACTCAATTCTCCCTAAACACAAGAATGAACAGCTTTAATCTTTAAAGAACTATGATGTGTTTCTGACAGTACTTCAAATCTGTGTCTTACAGTCTTGTCACAGTTTTCTTACCACATTATATTTCAACAAAACCGAGTTGATTTAATAATCCAATGTAACCAATTTATGTGTTCTTTTAGCAGTTTTTCACCACATATGACAGCTTCCTTATAAAGAAAAGCATGCAGAATAGTCTAGGCTCATTTGCTTCAGAATGACATTTGAAGTGACCTTGAAATGAAGGCACTAGTTAATGTCTATCCATCCTGGCAGATTGACTTGTTGTATCCAACACAGGAGAGTTTATTTTCACTTGTTAGTGATAATAGAAATCACAAACCAAATATTTAAATAGCTATATTTACTACCCTCAAAGTGGCGTGTCACCCATGTCAAATAGCTTGTGAGTGTGAATATAATCCAGAAGTCCCTGGTAAAGAAAGTCATAGTGAGCCTGTAAAAATAAAATATAAATCAATGCATTAGAGGTAGCTTTCATATTTTGATTTCTAAAAGTTAGTAAATGTTGCTGTTATGGTTTCTGTTGTTAGTGGGGTTCTCTTGGATTATTTGATAAAAATGATAATAGAAAGTCTAGTCCACTTCATGATAACAAAGTCATTTCTTAAACTTTAAATTACACAATTAGTGTAATCAAGGTTCACTGTTACATGTAACTGAAATTCTACTTGTTAATTTTGTATAACTTTTTTTCATTAAAATATAAGTTGAATATTCATATCATTGAAATAATGAATTGACAGTAACAAACTGACTAAATATGCAGATTATTCAGTAGCTAACTAACAAACTCAATCTAGCCTAACTTGATTTATATATACAGCTGAAACTGTTTCCTAAACATTGGACAAAGTTCCAAACATTATGACCACACCCATTAAATTATGCTAAACTTCCTTGTGGCTAAATAATAATAGAAATTTATAGTAACATGTAGAATAAAAAATAGAGGGTACAAAAACGTTTTACTTTCTAGCACCATTATTCTTAAGAAAAATCTGAATATTAAAAGAAGTTAATCACTGAAACATACATCTAGAAAAAAATCCGTTCAACTTTAACCTTCACATAAGAAACATGTATGTTTACTTTATAACTGAACCTGTTATGTAACTGAACATGTAACAAATCTAAAAATAAGGGATACTGATACAAGAAAAAAAGTGAGATCTAAAATGTACCAGAGTTTTAAGCATGCAGTGACGTTGAGAGCGAGTGTATCTTGCAGCTTGGAAGACATCTACTCTCTCTTCGATTTTCAACTGTTGGATAAGTACACTTAGAGTGACAAACACACTACTTCGGTCACCACCACCACTGTAAATACATTTTACAACTTTTTAATTATGGTTATTTAATTTTCTCTCTTCACATATCAGAACTGTCCTATGTTTAAAACTGTTTCAAATTTGTTTCAGTATAACTGCAAATTGTGAATGCTTGACAAATCACTATCACTGTGCTAATCTGTATTGATATTTGTTTCAGACCAATGAGCATTTAAAACATGTTTTTTAAAATAGATAATGTGGATACTTTTATTGTTTACTTCATTAATGTTGTTGTGTATCTGCAATTTGTAATATTTTGTTAATTATATTCCTTCTCTATAATATCATATTTGCTAATTATTATTTATTTCAAATTTGTCCAATTCTCAAACAAATACTCATCTTAATACACAGGTAACTTCTTTCTTTTTGAGTTTGCACATTCTGCCAAAGAGATTTGCAAGCCACCAGCCTTGTGAAAACATGTGAATTTGCACCACTGCATAATGGTGTCATCATGCAGCAGGACTCTCCACCAATAGGAGTATGACACACATCCATGTGTAGTGATTTGCATGTGGGAATCCTTGTTCTTTTCCTTGGCACTGTAATACACTGATGTGTTTTTGAGTTGGCTGACACTTGCAATTTTTTTCACAAATTTTTCAAATTTCAACTTTTACTTGATTGAGTTTATTAAACTCAACATGAATTCACAATTTAATGTGAATATTTCTGAAGCTAATGTAGTGATTAATCTCACAGAATAAGTTATCACCATTTCTGATGGAAGTTTTTCCTGTTGAAGATGTGATGGCCATCTTCCAAGATGTTGTAGGGTCTATTATGCAGCTGGGACCCCATGCTTCCAATCCCTTCCACTCACTGCCCTTTACTGTTTTTGCACCTGAAACTGATGAGGACAAATTTAAGTACCAATTTCCATCTCCAGGTTTGAATTGTTTACTACTCTACTCAAAGTTTCTTCTCAATTTTCTTAGGTATGTACAAGTATTTCTCTTATTCTATTGTCTTCTTATTCTTCCCATTTGCTTTTATATAAGCATTACCTCACGATTACTTTATCCCCCCCCCCTCTCTTGGTACATTAGTACATGCCATTTCTTTTTGGGGATTACCTTCTCTTCCATGGTTTTATGCTTCATACTCCCCACCTAACTGTCTCCTTTAGTCATTCCTGTTCCTGGACTCATAGTCACCTTTGTTAGTTGTGGGGTCAGATTAATTGCTTGCTATTTCCCTTTTTAAACCTCACTTTTCCCATCTTCATGAATATATTACTACCCTTACTTGGTAACTCTCTTCCCTTTACCTTACGTTGGTAGCCTTTCTTGTTCTTCTCACGACCTTTCTCAGAAATCTAGATCTTCCTTTTTTTTGTTTCCTTGGCCTGTTCCACCTCCCCAACCTTTTCTTTTCTGGTTCCTCTGATGTTAGAACCTTTACAGAAGGGTACCCTCCTATCTCATGTAGATCTACCTTCCAACTTCTTTGGGACATTCTTTGTCTGGAGAAATTTGGTGGTGTCCCTGATTCCCCGGCATTTTGCACTTTGCATTTTCTATCTGCACTTGAGATACTTTCTCCTTTGAGGTCCATGGCTCTTCTGTACCCTCTCCATTCACTTGGCTATCCACGTATGCATCCACTACAGTGAATGTTGAGTATCCATTGGCACATTTTCAAGGTTGCACCAGCCTTACAAATCCACCTCCCTTTGAGTTCTTGGTCCCTGGAGAAACATTCTCTATTTATAACACCTTGCACCTGCTTGCTGACCATCAAGCATCCTCTTTCCCCTCATTGTGGATTGATTAGTTCTGATCCATTTGTTCAGATCCACTGCTTCCTGACTTTGAATCTCTTCCTTTGTACCCATTACATTTAAATGGGTTTCATAACTGGTCAGTTTCCAGGTTCAATGAACATTGTCGCAGGCTGTATTTCTTAATACAACTGCATCCAACTTACGGAATGGTCCCTTCACTCACACGTTCCACTTTGATCTACTCTCAAGTTAATACTCTCCATGTAATTGCTTTTGCCACACCATTTAAAGCTAATCCTCTTCTCTCTATTGTCCTGTGCCTCATCTCTCAGCCCTGGCTGTCTATACCCTCTGTTAGGTCTGGTACCATCAATTTCTGCAGACCAGTACTCCCCTACACCTCCTCCCTCTGATCCTTACTCTGATATGATACACCAATTGCAGGATTATATATGTGGCCCCTCACTGGCAATCCTTATCTGCAGACCCCACTGTCTTCTTCTTTTCCTGATTGGAATCCCACTGTGGTTCTCCACACTCTTATTTGGGACACTCTCAAACCTCTACCAACTTGTTTGATGTATCATCTTTCCCTGGAAAAGTATCTCCTCCTCCTCCTTGCATTATCTTCTCCTTTATCCTGCTCAGTCCTTCCTTCATAGCCTTATGTGACATGGTTTAGTGGTCACACCTTCTCTCATACCCCTTTTTACCACATCACTATGCTCATTAGGTACTGGACAGACTTCTGTATCCTGTCTGGGACGGTTGTTATTTGTCTTGCTTTTGTTCAGTTAATGCTATGACTTCCATCTATGGGCACTGCCCATAAGTAATGTTGCTCTTTTCATATTTCATTCCAAAAATAAAACTAGGTGATGAAATTGCTTGAAATTTGACAAGAACTTTCCTAAGAGTATGTTGTTCCAGAAAAATGAAACTTTTAATTTAGATTTTTTCTACTATTTTAATAAAAATTCGTTATCTATTGTAGTTATTTGCACTCAGACTCTGAAATTTCACCTGCAAGGTGATTTTAATATTGAGTATAAAAATACTTTATTATCTTACAGTTTCACATTTCATTTGCATAATCTCTACGATCTGAATGTATATCAAAGTTTTTATAGGTAAATGTTCATATTTTATTTTCCATTTTCTCTACTATATCATTCTCTAGCTATTATCATCAAGAGGGCAATTAAATGTTTAAAATTAAGAAGTAGAAATGTGTACCTACCTTCTAACTCTTCATTGAATAATCTTAGAAAATCTTCTTTAGGTCATATGCATAATTTCACGTCTTTACCTTTTCACTTATAGTTTATTTTTAATGTTTTATTTTCCTTTCTTATTCCTTATGATTGCTTGTTTATGATGACACACTTCAATGTGTGCCCCATGGGTTATACAATGTTATCTTTGGCAGAAATGGTTTACCATGCGGCAAAAATATTTTCACTTGCTTACTTATAAAACACATGTTGAATGTGCAAAGCATAGAATACATTTAGAAAATCATTAAGCCTTTCAAATATGAACTTTGAAATACAAATAATAAGTAATTAACTAAAATATAAAAGTAAAACCTAAATGCAATCTGACTGTCTATCAAACTAATATGTATAAAGTGAGTAAAAAATAGTCAAGTCCTAGGGATAACGATCTTCAACAATGTACTCAGCAACTGTATGCCTTCGTAGTCAAAGTTTACCTCCAGTGAGATAATAGAAAACATAAGAGAAATATATTTTGAAATCTGCTCTTTCTATTGCTTATAAGCATGCCATTCAAATCTAATCTGTTGGTAAGTGACGGCCCTTTCTAATTGTGTGTGGGCGTAGCTCCTACTGGTGGGGGAGAACTTTTACAATGTCATTTATGAAACTCAGAAGTTGGAATTCAACCTAGTTAGTGGTAAACATGCAGTATATTTATGTACTTTTACAATCTGGGAAAACCTGTACTAAGACACAAAACAGTTGAAATAAAAGAAATAAAAGCTAAGATATTTTTAACCATGATCATGTCATATGACAAGAAAACTGAAGATTTAATTATTGTTTTGGAGGTTTCTTTTGAAATAAAGTAATAAAAATTTAAATAATATAATACTATGAATTATAATGTACTTGATAATGTTAAGTTCATTAAACTACATTGTTAGTAATGTGATTTAATCAAGTTTTGATTGTAACTCAGTAACACTTTGTAGTAGAAAGGAATTTAAAGAATGCACTGGTAGTCATAGGGTTAAGAGTTCCAATCATTGTCTTTTTCATCTCTTAGGGTCACCTCCTATTCCTGGTTCTCTCTCCTTCCACCATTCAGAATGGATCCATCTGATCACCAACCTGGTCCATCCCTCTTTAGGGGTGGATTACTATAAGCTCTTTAGTGTGGTTCACCCGACATACATTTGATACATCACAATCTCCAAGTGGACTATGGAGACGTATCACTGTACCAATCCTATACAGATATACATCTTTCTCTTGCGGTTCCTGCTCCCATGGTTGCATGAACCCTCAGAGTCTGACTAATCTATTAAAAATTATGATGTATCACTCCATACCCTACTCCCACAGCAGGCAAGGGGGCCCATAGAGACTGATGGTCAAGTAGAGGTTATACAAGTATCTATAATGACATATTCCAATACAGTTCTCTCCTCCTGCAGCTGGCATGGGGCTCGTAGTGACTGACAGTTGAGGAGGTGTGCACAGATACAAATGCCTTTCTTCCACGGCTGGCTTTGACCCATTAAGTCTGATGGTCCCCAAGGTAAGTACACAAGATACAGTCTGAACAAGTCCCAATCTCACAATACATATTGGCCATCTGATAGCTTGTATGTGTGTGCCCATATGGTCATTTACCTATTCTGCCCATCCTCGTGACACATAAATGTGGTAGACGATCATGATTATTAGAATTACATAGCTCCTCCCTTCCCACATTTTAATAGCACTACCTTGCAAGTAAGTGGCTTGAGTGTTTCACTGAATGTGTTTCTCTAGATAACCTTTATCTTTTTTGAAGTGAATTAAGTACATACATGTTTTACACCAATTTCACAGAAATTTATGCATATTTTTCTCTGTTATTGATATTCATACTTAGATCATTTACTTATCTTTTAAAATACTTATATTAGCCAACTACTTGTACTTATTATTAACACTGAGTGATAATTGAAAATGGAGAGGCTTTCTTTAATAAAGAGTTTGTAATCTGTGGTTCAGGAGTCGAGAATTTTAAAGTTTTCTAGAAGTATGGGCTGGTTGTTATTCTCACTGTGAAATCAGATACAAGGCTCTGGTAGATAGCTTACATCCACTTCTACCCGAAATTCCTGTGTGCTCATGTGCATGTACTTATAAGTGACGTGTAGTTTTACCAACATAGGTAGTTTTATAGTTACCACAAGTGTATTTATATACAACCCGCAAGCACATAGGAATGGGTAGAGCATCTTCGATTTCGCAAAGTCAAGACAAGTTGAAGGAAATTAGCAGGTGAATGAGAATTAGGGTAAGGGAGAAGAAGGATTATGAAATTTGACTGACCACCCCAAATGATCGAAGTCATGAAGAGGAAGGGAAATGAAGTTGGGAGGATTATGCATGGGAACAGGCGAGGAGAAGCCTAACATTTCAGGCTTTTAGCCTTTTCTCTTCCTATACACGTGCAAATAGTATACCCTAGATGAAAAGAGATGTGGTCTCCCACCGGTGTGCCCTTATGTAGCCCCCACTATCAGATGTCACACCCAATGGGTTTCCTTTAGATGCTTTTAGGAGGAGGCTCATGTAAGTAATCATTGCACCAGTCCCTCCACCATCTTAATGTGGGATACTAGCACTTTGTGAACAGAAGTGAGTATTCGTTTTGGAAGTTAACATTTTCCTTACCTGAAAATGCATTTCTGATGGATATCTCTTGTATGCGTTCCTAACCATCCTCCCCACTTTCCCAGTGCACCTTTCTTTATTGCTTTGTCAAAGAATAAGGATTCTTGTGTGCTAATGTAGAGAGAGTCACTGCACATGGAGATGTATCACACTCCTACTGGTGGAGGGTTCTGCTACATGATGACACCATCATGCAGTGGCACAAATTCATGTGTTTTCACAAGGCTGGTGGCTTGCAAATCTCTGTCAGAATGTGTGAACTCAAGAGGAAAGAAGCTATTTGTGTATGGAGGTGAGTATCTATTGAAAATAAATGTTCAGGTAATGAAAATGTTAACATTACTGTTCTAGTTTTTGATGGACATAAAGATCATCAAAGCAGGGATTTTCTCTGTTAATAAAACCAACCTATAGAGAATACTATGGAGCAGTTGAGAAATTATCAGTTTAAACTATGGAAATGTGTACCATCCGATTGCTTCAGAAAGTGGGAAGTGTCTTTTACAGTGAAACAGAATTTAAGACTCAGTCAATTAAAAGCATTAAATCATAAAATTACTGTTTTATCATTCAGATATGACAAAGGTATAGACTTTGTGAGTACAACTTTAAAAATTAAGTATACATAAACTTGAACAGAGAAAGCAAAATAGATGTTTAAAGTAGACATATTTTAGTTAATGGGAATGTTTTATGCAAAACGTTTTTCTTTGAAAAGGTAGGATGTAAGCTAGTTGTCTGTTAAAAAATATAAACAGAGTATCCTCTTACACTTTGAAGTCTTCAATAAATCATCACTTTTTTAATCTCTATAATCTTGAAACTGAGCACTTTAATTCAAGAAGAACTTAAGCAGAAAATGTAATAGTGTTTGCTGTCACCTTTCTGTAAAAGTGGTACAGAACCTGTAATGCTTGCTTAAAACAATGGCAACAGTATAATATTGGAGTATTACTGCAAAGAGTAGTTTGATGTTCCTATCCTATTGTCACTGTCAAATTATGAAAGTGAATGTGCCATGATAGTTCTTGAATATGTAATGAAATGGAAAGAGGTATACAAGTTTTTATCAATATATATTATGAACTTGTAGAACTCTTTGATTATATACAGCAAAAATGGTAGAATGTTAGAGCTTTATGTTATATATGGACAGTTAAAGTACAGAGAGTGTAATTAAAACTGAATGTTTTGGGAAAAACTTCTTTTTCTTAGTTAGTTGTATGTTTAGTTGGTAATGTAAAGATAGTAACCTTTTATACTTTTGAAGTCTTCAATAAATCATCATTTTGTTATTACACAGAATTTCTGCAAGATACCTGGCAACTACAGACATTTATCTATTGCCATTAAGGATATCTAAAGATGTGTGTGTGTATATACATATAAGCTGAAATTTGCTTTTATTAAGTGCCTTCTAAAATACCCAGTAAAAGACAAAGCTATCTACTAGAGATGGGAAGAAAAACAGAACACTTACAGACTAGATCACATGCATGGAGTTTTGATAAATCTAAATGCTAGTCAATAAAGCATACAAACAAACAAAAATATACGTGTTTTACTGACCAGAATTTTTTTTAACATTCCATAATTTGTCTAGTACTTTCAGAACTCCCATCTGTATTTTACAATTTTTATGAGTGTTATGTTTTTCTGCTTGTAAAATAGCGAATAACTATTTACATGGTTAATCCCCTTCCCCCCATTTTTACTCTATTTCACTTAAAAGGTTTACAATTTTTTTTAAAGCTATAATAACCAAAGTATTTTTAAAGATTGGCAAACCTGCAGTGTACAGTAATAGGACCACTACTAGGATCTTGTTCTTTGTTCTGTTGAGCTTGTTCAATTAAGTCAATAAGGGCTATTGTGTTTTCGGGAACTGTACTAGACCAGTCATGGAACTGAAACTGAGTGAGGGTGTGGTTGTCGTTATTCTGTAAAAGACAGGAAATTCATCTGAAAACACTGAGAATGTATTTACAACAATATATAGAAATATATATATATATAT